TAATAATTTTCTTATCATTAGAGACTGTAGGTAGAATTAAGAGATATAGCCATGTTCTCTATGTTTTATCTATAGATATTCAAAAGTGTGCACATATACACACATGTAACTTTTTAGTAGTCTGATTTTGTCTTTGACTTTTGGTAGTGTAATTGTGTAATTTTAGAATTAAGGCACTAATCATGACTAGTTTATCAATGCCTTTGTAAGCATTATCTCTACCTATTGTACTGTGGTACTTGGGAATTTTCTACAGATCTCTTAATTCCAATTAGAAGGGAAAAGGGAGTCATCTGGAAAGACCAATGTCAATGAAGGAACTGTCTTTTTCTGCTTTAGAAAGACATGTGCTGTGGGGCAGCTAGGTGGCGCAGTGGATAGAGCACCAGCCCTGGATTCAGGAGGACCTGAGTTCAAATCCAGCCTCAGATACATAACACTAGCTGTGTGACCCTGGGCAAGTCACTTAACCCCACTGCCTCGCAAAACAAAGAAAGACATGTGCAAAAGACAGAAGAAAGGGCAGGTAATAGAAAATGAATATGATATAACCTGTATGAAAAGTGTGAGGAGTCTTGGAACAGAATGTATTGAGACTAGCTGTGAATACTAGGTTCAACCAAAAGGGCTTTTAAAAGTCCTTTCTAGGGGTATGGAAATCTATCTTATCTTATAGGAAAATAAGGGGGAAAGGGGACAAGAGAGCAGGGGGTTGATAGAGGGGAGGGCAGATTGAGGGAGGGGATAATCAAAAGCAAACACTTCTGAGGAGGGACAGGGTGAAAAGAGAGAATAGAATAAATGGGGGGTAGGATAGGATGAAGGGAAATATACTTAGTTTTTCACAACAGGACTACTATGGAAGTGTTTTGCATGACTACACATCTATAACCTGTATCGAGATGCTTGCCTTTTCAGGGTGGGTGGGGAGGGAGGGAGAAAATTTGTAACCCAAAGTTTTAAAAACACATGTAAAAAATAAAAAAAAAATTAATTAAAAAAAATGGGAACAATAAAAAAAGTCCTTTCTACAAACCTTGCTATATCACAGACAAGCAGGGCAATGTTTTTACTAACATGTTAAACTTAATATATATTCTTAAAAAGTGATAGGTTAAAACTGTGATAGGTTCACGGTTTCATATGTAATTCTATTTTCCTAGACTTATTTATATGGAAATGCTAATTTTGTTGAGAATTTTCTGGGTCATAACTTGAAATTAAAACAAAGTACAAAGAATAAAAATAATTTTGGAGAAAAAAGAATCAAACAGGGGCTAGGCCACCCTAGGCAGAATGATAATGGATTAGAAATAAGGCACAACTCTTGGACTAGTTTTTATTGTTTTCTCTACCAAAAAATGATCTTTAGACTGAAAAGGATGAAAAAATGGCTGCTAAGGAGCTGAATCCCAGGATAGGTAAAAAGATAATAAGAGTGTCTAGTACTTTTGATGCCAAGTCAGGACAACCAGGCAAATTATATCAAAGTGTAATGGAAGAACTGGAGAATATGATTGTTGAGCTACTTTCTGTTTTCTTTGAAAGATCCTGGAGAATGGAAGAAGTGCCACAGGACTAGAAAAGGGCAAATGTTGGTATCCAAATTTTCAGAAAAATAGAGTACCATTTACAAATTATAGTTTGACCTGCTTCTGGCAAAATTATAGAAAATGTTATTAAAGGAGGGTTTTTAACACCTATTAAAAACAAGTAGTGTCCACAAAGCATCAAAACAAGTCATGCCAAACTAAATCTACTTATATCATGGAAATGTTGTAGATAAAATGTGCATAGATTTCAGCAAAGCATTTAACAGAAGCCCTCATGTTCCCCTTCTAAGCACAAGGGAGAGCCTTGGGATAGTCAATACTGAAGTCAGTTGTATTTTGGACAGGTTAACTGCATCCAGAAAATGGATTATTAATGGCTTGAAGTCAACTTGGAATGAGGTTCCCAGTGCAGAGTCTTGTAATTTGTGCTTGAACCTGTGCTATTGAACATTTTTCAATCATGATTTGGAAAAAAGTATAGATACCATAATTATTAAATTTTCAGATGATAAGACTGAGGATAGCAAATACACTGGATAACAGGATTAAAAAAAAAAAAAAAAGCCTTGACCGGCTAAAATAGTGGGTTGAATCTAAATTTAAATATGGAAAATTGTTAAATCTCCTACGTATCAAGTTTATTTTTTAACCCAAATATAAGGTGAGGAACGTGTCACTAAACAAGAATTCTATGGGGGCAGCTAGGTGGCGCAGTGGATAGAGCACCAGCCCTGAAGTCAGGAGGACCTGAGTTCAAATCTGGCCTCCGACCAAACACTTGACACTTACTAGCTGTGTGACCCTGGGCGAGTCACTTAACCCCAATTATCTTTAAAAAAAAAAAGAATTCTATGACAAAGATGAGGTTTTATCAACAAGAGTCAGCCAAGTAAGTTAATGCAATTTATAACTATATCAACAGATTTAGGGTCTAGGACTAGAGAGGTGACTGTCCTCTGCTCTGCTTAGATCGTTTACAGTATAGGCTCCGTATTTTAGAAAGGACTTTGTTACGTTGGAGGACATACAGGGAAGAACTGCCATAATGGTGAAGAGATTCAAGTACATGCCTCATAATAACTGGCTAAAGGAACTGAGAGTGTTTGGCATAAAGAGGCACTGGGAACATCAACAGTCTTCATGTGTCTGAAAAGCGGAACTGGAAGGATTAAACATTTTGTTTGGTACCCAAATGGGCAGAACTGGGAGTAATGGGTTTAAGTTGTAGACAGACAGATTTGGGATTAATGCAGGGAGAAACTTCTTAACAGAGGTATACAGAAATAAAAAGGGCTGCTTCAGGAAATAGTACCTATTTAAGAGTTTTAAGTAGAAGCTGGATGGCCAATTAATAGAGATGTTGCTGGGGGGTTTCTAGGTCAGATATGGGCTGGACTAGATAGATGGCTTCTAAGATCCCTTATAATCCTGAGATCCTATAATTTTTTTGCTGTGTTACAGTACTTCCACAATTTTATCACTAGACATTCTAGGATTCCTGTGTTTTCTTTTAGGTTCACACAACATTTACTATATACTGTACATCATTCATCCTTCTTGCTACTTTCACTTTAAAGTGGGGGGGAAGGGGAAGTATTCATACCATCATCTAAGACCTGACAGCACTATTACCCCTGGACAACTTTCATTAATCTTTGAGAAACCTCATTCTGCTACATGAATCACATAGCCATCACTAGCAAACTTTGGAACTATTATTTCTCCCTCTAAGATTTCTTGCTGTGTGACTAGTATATACTAGGCACTTAATGCTTGTTTACTTGGGGGAAAAAAGATATTTTAAGAGAAATAAAGAAGGGGGCATGATCTGCAAGATAAGGTAATATTTATGTCACTTTGACTTTAGGTTTAGTGTTTAAGCATCTTAGGACCAAGGGAAGGCCAACTAGGCAGATGCTAAACTCCTTGCTCCCTATTATCTCTCCTTAAGGCTGAAGTTATACTGAGGAACTGAATGGACAGTCTTCCCATTTCAGAGTATGAGAGGCAAGAGGTAAGTGGATTCAGGCATAAGAACACCGACTAGTTTTCTTCTACCCCCACCCTACAAATGACAAGATGCAGCCATCTATAAATGCTCACTCAATCTGTCAGCTAACACTGTCTTCCTGGGTAAGGAAAATGTCCTACTTTTAAAAGTGTCTAATGGCTATTAAGTTAGTTTCAAAATGGGAACAAAAAATAGTGTGTGTTCCTATGCGATGTGGAAAATCCATTCACTTACAGAGACAATATCGGAGACAGAAGTGACCTTTAAGAACATTCTAGTTTAACCCTTTTATTTTTTAGTGATGATGAAATAAGGCCAAGAGGGGCTGTGACTTAAAGATCTCACAGGTACTTGATGGAAGAGAAGAAAATCTAGTCCAGAACTTCTAATTCCAAATCCAACATTCGTATTTGGAGTGCAATCTGTATTGCACTGTGCTGCTTCCTTATTTGTTCAGCTAACAAGTATTCATTAAGCACCTACCTTATATATAAGGCACTGTAAGATAAAATTATCTCAAGGAAAAGTCCCATTCAATAGTACACAATAATCAGAATTCTGAAATTTTGGTTTTGTCTGCTGCTACCTAACTTTAAAAACTATTTCCAGGGACCTGCATTTGTCATAACACTTTAATTGTCCATCAGTTTCTCTACTGTGATTTGATATTCCCAATTTTATTTTTAATTTGTATATTCAAAACCTGTTAATTATTTTGTAAACATTAGATGGTTGTGCCTCAGTATGCCATGAGAAGTTAATATTCTAATCTGAAAAAGTATCTGATGCTGAGTCACTTTCTATCATATCCACAAGACTTGTCCTGCTTTCCGGATTTCCTTTATTTGCTTTCTTCTGGATTTTTTCATTTTGCTATCTTGCTTATTATGTCATTAAAAAATTATGTTGCTCTAATTCTGCTTTGTCTCCTGTGTTATTTGGCACCTCTCCACAGCATTGCAAATATCTTAGCTCACTGTGTGTGTGCTACAATACTTCCCTTTCAATCAAGCCTGTGTTAGCATCTCAGTTCTATGGGCCACTTTGTCTATTTATCAGCAAAATATACACAGAAACACAACTTGTGTACCTTAAAATTTCAATGTGAAACAATTAAAAAAAATTAATATTGTATACAAAATAATATTGAAAGAATATAAAATGCTGTTTTAAAAACATTCCTTTTCATCATACATTTGTATCATGCATTTAAATGGGTCCAGGCAATAAATTTATTTTTAAAAATCACATGACAGCTTATAACATCTTTAATAGATAAATTTTATGTCAATATCTTAGCTCACATGTAATTAAATAGACCCTGCTTTAGCATCTAACAATAATACTGATTTGACTATAATACACTTTAGGTTATACTCTGAATCACATCATTTTATAGATGTAGATATATACACACACACACACACACACAGATGTGTATACATATGCATATATTTGGCATTGTCAAAAATTGTACAAGCCCGTGACAGGGAAAGAGCATGATTAAAAACTAGTATTTGCCCCATGTTTTCTGCAAAGTTTAGATAACACATAAACACAATAATATTTGCTCTTCAAGCCTTGTGCTTTTATAGAATAACCATATTTAGAACTGATTTATTTTTATTAGTTTTATTACTATACAGTGGTTTAGCTAAAATTTTTTAAAAATCAGTTTCAAAACTATGTAATTTTAAAGACAAAAAATCATCTTCCTTTGGCTAATTAGGTGATAATGTTATTAAAATCCACTTATAAGCAATAAATAATCAAGTTAAAGTAGTATGGAATTTAGGATATTTTGATTTAATAAATTTTAATATTAAAAGATATAACATCAATATAATATTTTAATTTGTAGCATAGAACTGGTTGGTTTATCTCCATTAATTTCTTAAGTGGAGTAAAGGTATTTGTTTCTTTACTTAATATACTTTTAAAATTCAATTCATGCAGGTATTTTTCACCTTTTTTTATTTTTTCACCTCTTTTGGTCTTTTTCAGTGTATGTTTCTAGCCTATGTAAATTATAAGGTTAGATTTAAGCTCAACCAATCTACCTAATATCCTTATCAACTTCAGAATCTGGACTTCATTAATGATAAGAATAATAACAATGGTTAAGTCACTGCTGTATTGACAGAACAGTTACAAGTAAAGTGACTAGTCTCTCAGAATTGATTTCCGTTTTTAAATTAAAAAAAAAAGTCACGGATGTCTACTGATGTGTTTAAAACTTCACAAGGTTAACTTTTAAGGAAAAACACATGGAAAATAGTGAAATCATCATCTTATTGATACAGAACTATGAGTTTAATAAGTCATTGAAGGGATAACATTGTGCTTTTAGTCTACATTTAAAAGTAATTTTAATCATAGCTAAGGCAAAACTAAAAACATAAAAATTCTATTAGTAAAAATAACAGTAAAAACAAGAAACATGTATATACTTAATAATCCTAAACAAAGATATTAAAAGGTAAAAAGGTCATAAAATATGCTTTTTCCAACAATTCATTTTATAAAATCAAATTCTAATATATCATATTCCTTGCTTTGGTGTTTTGTTTGCTGTCAAGTTAATACTCTCACAGTAGGAATCACTTATGTTCTTTTCAAATGCTTGGCATTATAATGAGATCTCATATCTTTTCGCAAATTAAACTTTGCTCCACATATTCCACATGTATATAGATGAACATCCATGTGCTGCTCCAACTGTTCATTATTTGGAAATATCTGAAAGCAGACCTGGCATATAGTCTCCCCAGAAGACAAATGAGAAATCATATGCCGTACATGGTCATGTTTTCGGAAGTTTCCTTGATCGCAAATGGAACAGACATACCTGGCCATGCCTTTGTGCATATCATTATGTAGTCGCAACTGACGTTCTCTTAAAAACTGCTTTCCACATGTTTGACAAACGAATTGTTTTTCCTTGGTATGGACTGTATAGTGTTCCCTTAAGTGACAACGCTGATAAAATCCCTTTCCACAAAGATTGCAGAAATGTTTTCTTCTATGATCTCTTTCATTCTCTTCTATCATGGCATTCTTAAACATATCTTGGTCTAGGCAGCTGGACATATGCTCAACCACAAGATTTTCATTTTCAAAACGCTGACCACAATTAGGACATCGAAAAGGACACGCAGAATGTTTATATAATTGCTTTTGGGGGAGACTATTTATTTGGAAATGATTGTCCCTGAAATCATCTAACATCTCAACAAACATATCTCTTATTTCAGATTGCTCATCAGTGTTCTCTTCCATGTCCATTTTTTCTTCACTGTTTCCTAAACCATTCACAGTCAAATCTTGGGGTTCTCCACATCTTTGTGCATGTTCTTGAAGTTGCCTACCTTTGACTAGTATTTGACCACATTTACCACAAGCACAGATATTTTCTATGTGTTTTGATAAATAATGAGATGACAGGTCTTCTTCAGTTATTGTCTGTCCACACAGTTCACATGATGCACCTTCAGTATCCCCTTGTACAGGACTGTCCTTGTTAGGGTGCCTTGTATTTTCCAAACTGCTTCTTTCATCTGTGTTTACAGACATCCGAGGTTTTAAAAGTTTCCTAGCATTTTTCTTCATATTGACCTCTTCTTCAATATAATATCTATAAAATGGCTCTTCAGGTTCATCTTCTAATTCATCATTGTCAGTGGATTCATTACAATCTTTATCAGAAACTTTAATAACATTGAAGTCTTTAAATTCATCTTTAGGATGATCTTCTGGCTCCATCTTGATGATAATCCTTTTCCTCTCAGCAGCTCTGCTCTTCTCTTCACCGGCTACTTCAGACTCTGCTGTACTGCCTTTTCTGTTTCCAGTGGCTGATGATGAATCACTGGTGGCCTGGCTTGTGTCGCTTCTGTATTTGTCTATTTGTACAGAAAATGTTTTAGAAGAATCCTTTTCACAGGAGTCAGTTTTGGTATTACTGTCTTTTCCATCTCTAACATCTATTATCCTATGATATGCCCTTGCGTTTTGATATGAATGTCTATTAGTGCAGGTTAACACATGCTCATCTAATAACTTTTCACAGCTAAAACCAAACCCGCAACTGTCACAGGTAAAGCTCCTTCCAAAGCGCCGTGACACACGATCCTTTGGGTTAGATAATTTGGACACAGAGCTTTTTTTACATACATCAAACAATTGTTCTGGAAAGGTGCCTAACTGTAAAGACTCTTCATCAGGCTCTTTGTTTTGTGATGTATTTACTGTTGAACTCGGCTCTACACACCACCTGTTTGCTTCACTGCCATTTTTAGCTATGGTGTCATCATACATTCGTACCCCAAATATCATTTTGTTATTGTGATTGCTGGAAGCAGAAGATGAACATTTTGAACTAGAACAGTCTGCATCCTGTATGTCTTCTAAACAGTCAGGAACATTGTATAACTGTAAGTAGTTCATTGCCACTTTAAACTGTTCAAAGTTGGCAGGGGCTGTCATAATTTTTCCTAAATACATAAACTGCAAAATTAGATCAAAGCATTCAGCACTAATTTTCATGTTGCTAAGATTCAGTTGTGCAGTGGTGTGCTGATGGTTCATGAAAAACATCCTAAAATAAGAGCTGCAAGCAGCTAGAACTGCTTTGTGAGCTTGAAAATAAATGTCATCAATTGCAATACAACAGTCACAGAGAAAACCCCATTCCCTTTGGTTGTTTAGCTGCTGAAGGACATAGCTGCTGTGGCTGGGTCTTGCCATCTTCTACTTTAATTATGGACCTACGTATAAAAAAAAAAAGATATTAAGATCAGAACAGGTAGCAGAAAAAATGGTAAAAGGATAAATTCAATTAAAATTAGACTCATTTGACTTCCTATCACAATCAAATTAGGAACTTCTCATCTTAAATATAAAAATATACGTTAGAAGCCATTTATATAAGAATGAAGGAAACCCTATTATTTGTTTCAGATATTAATGTTGGTTTTGTATATATAATTAAGAAATGTGTACATATGTATCAAAAGCCAATGCCATTTAGGCTTTATTAGAAATACATGGGGGGAAAAAAAAACATAAATTTTAGAAGAATAAAAAAAGACCAGAAAAGACATTTGCTTCAGAAGTTTCAAAAGACCATAAAGTGAAAATAACAGTAATTCAAATAAACCAAAAGAGATCCAAAGTAAATGGTTAGCTAGTATAGTATTATAAAGATGACCAAGAAATCATCCCAAGCAGATATAAAGATTTTGATTGTTGTGGTTTGGTTCCCCCACTCCCCATGAAGAAATGAACCAAGTTTGGTTCTCTAAAGGAATGAATACCACACATAATGCTCAATGATATTTAAGGAAGCAGGGTTTCAAGAAGAAGATGGCTGCAAGTTCTAGCGCAGACTAGATTTTAAATGAAGAAGAAAATCCCCAAAGCTCTAGAGATCTTTATTTTTACACAACACTATAAAATTAAGATCCAATTTTAGTTTGAAGTCAAATTTTAATTGGCATTATCTAAAACTTCTGAACCTATTGTACTCAACTTGGAAACAACCTTTATTCCAAAAACATCATCAGAACAGCTCAAACTAGGTACAGCTATAATTTTTTTCAAGTTTACTTCCCCATCAAAACTTTTATTTCTTGATTTTCCACCTTTTCTTTACAAGTCAATCTGATAACATATTAAACACATTTGTGTGTGTGTGTGTATAGTATATAAAAATATGTATCATATATAAATGGATATCTATCAATCTACCTATACATTCACTCATCTTCCCTTTCTTCATTTTCCTCACAAAGGCAGAAAGGAACACAGAAGAAAGAGGTAACAGGGTTCCTTACTATGCTACTGATGATGTACAAAGGCCTGTAGCTTTCAAATTACTACCAATGAAGCCTGTATCTCAAGTATCTTTAGTTCAGTATTTCAACCCGTTATTTCAGACCTTGGCCAACTTGCTAAAACTTACATAAATGTCATTTCTGACTGTAGGAAGAATTGATAGCTACTTTGCCATTTAGAGACAATGGACATCCTGAGTGCTCCACTGGTACCTGCAAAATGTCAAAAGACCTAGAGGAAGACTTCTAGCATGGTGAAGGGTAAACTGTCTGTGGAGGATCTATGGTGAAATATGAACAAAATCACACATCTCTCTACATCAGTGGGATCACAGATGCACTGAAGCACTGAAATATTCTGAGTTAGTAAAGATCAGACTCAAGCCAATTTATAATGAATCAAGGTCAGCTATCAGAGTTTAGTAACTTTCAGGTACAAAATATCCCAGGCTTGAAAAGACATTTAGCGTGTGATGGTGGCACACGCCTAATCCCTGCTGCTAAGGACTCTGAAGCTAGTGGATCATTTGAGTTTGTGAGTTGTGAGCTGATCAGGTGTCAACACTAAGTCTGGCACCAATATGGTGAGCCCCTGGGAGCAGGGGACCAACTAACAGACTGCTTAAGGAGGGGTAAACTGACTCAGGCTGGAAACAGAGCTGGTCAAAGCTCCATTGCTGATCAACCCATGAGTGGCCACTTGCACTTCTGAGTGGAGAGAGGGAGACAATCTCAAAAGAACAGAAACAAAAAATCAACCACACATTTAAAGCTTTAAGGTCTCTTCCTAAATGAATAAAAGTTTATTTTTTGTTAAGGGGGAATAAGTTAGTAATGAATTTAAGTATGATAGTCAACAGACAAAAATAAAGAGGACTTGTGGTAGGCTAGTGTGTTATGCATAAAGCACATGATTTTTTTAATGTTAGCCAAAAGCTCATGTGGAAATAATTAGACCTAACTTCGTTTTAATGTGTTTAAGTAAATTCTCATGTACTTTCATGGGAAATAAGCAACTTTGTGTCTGATAACTCACTAAAAAAGTATGTCATTTCAAGGAGAAATATGATCTTATTTCTAGATTAGTCAATTAATTAAAAAAGCATGTTATATACCTCCTAGCATTTTATTAGAAGTTGTAGGAAGATACAAAAAGCAACAGGAGCCTTACTAGAACAACTTAACAACATGGCAGGGGACCTCAGCCAAACATCATAAGGAAAGAGGAGAATACAAATGAGAAAAAAAAGTATTTTAGGGCTTAAAATGTTGAAAGAATACATTCCTTTCAAAAGGCTAAGATTAAGTGACCATGCTATTTAATCATAAGGAATTCTATTTCCTAATCTATAAAATTAATCAATCAGCAAACAAATATTTGGTAAACACCTGCTATGTGCCAGACACTAGGGTAGGCATTGGGGATAGATATGACTAAAACTAAACAGTCCCTGTCCTCAAGGAGACAATATGTACATATATTAATAGTTACATAATAAATACAAGGTGGAGGGGGGCCTAATGTAGCTGGTGGAAATCAGGAAAAGACTCATGTAAGAAGTGCCACTTGAGTTAAGCTTTGAAGGAAACTAAAAATTCCAAGAGGTACAAATGAAGAGAGAAAATATTCCACATTTTGAGAAACTTCATACCCCCCAAACAAGCCCACCCAACACATTAATATGATTATAGTTATATTACAAATATGTATGCTACATTATTATATTGTGTTTAAGATTGGTTTGTATTTTAACACAACTTAATAAATTTTACACATACACACACACACACACACTTAAAGAGGGAGTCTACTGCAGGCATGGAGAAGAGATCATGAAAAGGCACAGAGATGAGAGACAGAATGTTGTGTAAGGTCCAGGAAAGAAAGACCAGTATGGACAGCAGTGTACATAAAGGGCAGGATTAGATGATTTCAAAGTCCCTTCATGGTCTGATGTTTTAATTCTGGGCGTTATTCACTTTATATAGTGCTATATGTAATGAATTATAATTTTAAAAAAATCTCTAGAGTCATCAGAAATTATACTGATGGGATATAAAAAAATCACAATGATTTCAATAAATAAGACCCTCAACCTCTGTTACTCAGCATTTTCCTAGCCTTACAATAACTTTTTCAGGCAGGTCAACCATGTTTTTCCCTCAGACTGATTCACAAGTTGTTGTCTAGGTCCACACTGATTTGTTTACATAATTGGATCACATAAAATAATACTAATAGCTTGGCTAGCACATGGCTTTAAGATTTGCCAAATGATGCATTGTACTTTACCCCTTTTGATTCCAGCAACAGCCCTGTGGAGTGGCATTTGGCTAAATGTCAGGAGCAAAATTGGAAACCAGGTCTTTCCTAACAAGCACACCTTTTCCACTTGTCTCAAACCCGAAACTCTTTAAGTCTATAACTGAATACATGTTCTTCTTTATTGTAGAATAGGGGCTCCCATGACAGGTCTTACTGCCATTATCTTGTATCTGTTTCTCTCTCAGATATCATAACAGAAATGTATACTTCATGTAGGGGCTCTTTAACTCTAAGAATTTACAGCTAGAAGGGGCCTTGGAAACCTCCAGTCCGAGCCCTCTCATTGTACAGGTAATGCACTGCAGGCCAGACGAGTCACAGTGACTTCTTCACGATGTCCTGGCAGTACATGGTGTAGCTAGGATTTAAACTGATGTCCTCTGATCCCAAATCTCCTACCACTTCTACTATACGACCCATGTTTGTTAGGTTATGAGGAGTGGAACCTCTTGTTGACAGATATTTCCTCTTCAGTTGGAGAACAGAAGGGACTGATCACTGGAACATTTCCCTTTTGGGCTTCTTCTGTGATGTTAAACATCTATCAGGATGTCATGCTTACCTAAGATCTCCAAATATTACTAAGGATTATTCAAATACTTGGGGCAGCTAGGTGGCCCACTGGGCTTGCAGCCAGGAAGACCCGAGTTCAAATCCAGTCTCAGACACTTCCTAGCCACGTGACCCTGAACAAATCCCTTAATCTCTATTTGCCTTACAGATCATTGACAAAAAGGTGATCCACTGAAGAAGGAAATGGTAATCCACTCTAGTATCTTTGCCAAGAAAACATCCACGGTGTCACAAGGAGTCAGACATGACTGAACAATAATTATTCAAATTATAAGGCTTATTCTGATAGCACTAAACATTTTTGTCTTTTTAATTTCTGGAATGAATTCTCTCCCTTGTGAATGTTTTGCCTAAATACTGGAAAAAATTAGTTTTGGGAACCTGGAAAACTAATAAGTAAAATCTTGTGCCCTGAGTCCTGATTTTCATTTGAATTATGTCTACATTTCTATTAACATCACAATTACAACTGATACAAACTTGATCCCAATATTTCCTAAATTCCTATTCAATTCCTCTCTCAGCCTTAGTTTCCTTAGCTAGATACTGAGGGTTGTGGTGAACATATCCTGTAAGTCATAATACATATAAATTTGAGTTGTTATAGTAATACTTAAATCTCTTTTCTCACTGTACTCCTAACTTCAGGCATTGTGGAACTATGTCATTTTGGGAGAATGGAGAAACTAAAATCTATAATTTCTAAAGTGGCATGCATATACATGTGAAATGACACAAATTTTTGATAGCTATGCAAAGTTCTGTGTGTCTCTGGTATTTTCACTTCACTAAAATCCTAATCTGATATTTTACTCTTACATGGAGGTGACCGTGGGTTCTCAAACACTCGGTGTGCAAAAGAAAAATACTAATAGGCCCTCCTGAGCTAAAATGTATGGGCCTGGTAACAGTTATCATCAGAGGACCAGTTTAGTGAGGCCTAAGACTAGATTATAGAAATTTATTAAACCTAAGATGAGTAAGGATACAGTGTGCAGTGATAGAGGAAGTATCTTTAATGGAAGGCGTATGA